TAGCATAATTAGATCTACTTAAAGCTTGCTTAAAGCTAAAAAATGCTAAAAGCTAGCTGTCAGTATCAAAACGAGAGCTAAAAGATAAAATTATCAAACACTTTGCTTGAAGCTAGAAGTTGCARACAGTTAGCTTAAAGTAGATAATTTGAAAGTTAGAAGCTAAATGTTAAAGCAGCAATATGAGAACTAGAAKCTAAAAGTTAAAAATAAAACACTTTGCTTGGGTCTGTTTTTATCCCGGTGAGGCTAACCTTTGTGACGTAGGTGTGGTCAGGGTGGTGCTTGGCAGGAGTGACCATGAGTGTGATGCGTTCGTACAGCTGGATGCCCGTCAGAGACGTGACCCCCATGTAGAGGAAGATACCGAAGAGAACGGCCAGAGGGATGAGGCGCAGCACGTCCGTCATCACGATGGACAAGCCTGACGGATAAAGTTACCAGTTATAAAAGGCGGGCGATSATGTAACCGCCTGCATTAACTCAACTGTAGCTTTTAGTTTCCTCCTACCAACGAGCACAGCCACCAGCAGCCCCGTCAGCCTCTGCTCCTTCACCTCCTGGATCATGGGCTTCTCTCCCGGAGCCGTGGCCTTGCTCATGACGGTCAGCGCGTTGACGTGAGTGACGGAGCGCACCGTGGCCGCCGTCAGCCACGGCAGGCCGAACAGCGGGCAGACGGCGCCGAGGATGACGATGAGCAGGAGGTCCAGGTGGAAACCCGAGCCTTTGACGAGGCGGCGCTCCTTCTTACTGACGATCAGTCTGACGGGGCGGAGAGAAGCGCAAACTCAAACAACACAAAACGCTCAAGGTTTGTTTGCGATTCTGCTGAAAAACCTACGATGTGATCTGCGTTTCCATGAAAATGAGGATGAATACGAGAAGCGCCGGAACAACAGACGCTCCCATCATCCAGGTGGGAAACGGCTGCTTGTCTCCAAACGGACTGATCAACCAGCTTCTCTTKTCAGGAGACGTGACCGAAAAACCTGAAGGAACGTTGAGTTTCTGAAAGGAAAAGCCGTCAGCTTTAAAGGGATNGGCTGTTTTAATCTGTTTGCCCCAGACTTCAAGACTCCAGCAATGCATGACCTCTCTTATTTTGATAAGGTAGCTCCTGGGCTGAGAGCTCTGTTATTGGTTAGGTGGTTACAGTTGTTGAATTGTGATTGGTTGTAAACGTGTCACATGATGTTGTATTATTGGCTGCGCTACGCTGAGGAGCCAGCCACAACTCGACAGACTTCCTGATCGACCTCTGCTGTGTTGTTGCTCAGATTGAATCATTTGACGACCATACACGCAGACTTTCTGTGCATTTATTCCAACGTGTTTCTGCATTCTTGGTAAATCTTGCTACCACAATTATTATTATTATTATCATAATAATAATAATACTGCTTTGGTAAAACTGCTCTCCTACATCTTTAGTACCTAAACTCTAAAACGTTCCAGTAATAATTCATGCCATCTGTGAAAAAACATGAGAAATAAAAGCACAGATGAACAGTGACGACTGCTGACCTGCAACATTCCCAGCAGTTTATCCCAATCTTGTGTCAACAGATAATAAAGTAGAAAAATAAAAAAAATTGGAACCAAATTTGCTAATAAATCCAAAACCACAATAATAAAACCGACTAAGAGTATCAAACACGTAATAAATAAACAAGAAAAAAACTAAATATTTAAGTGTTTTTTATGAATCCTGGGAGTTCGGCTTCACGTACGTTTAATAAAAAGCTGTTCAAAGAGCTCGGAGGTCTGTGCAGGAGTGAAACAGACACCTCAGCTCATTTAAATCACTGCATCTTAAATACGAAGGCAGAACAGGAAGAAGGCAGCTAATCTACAGGCAGTGAAACTTGTTTAATTCATTCATCTGCTCTTACTTTGTGCTACGTGTCTCCATAATCATTGCACTGTCGCCCGAAACAATTAAAGGGATTTTAAGGTAAAAAACGTGATGACGCAAGATTAGTCCAGTTCAGGTGCAGCTAATTCCTGGAGACCATCACACCACCGCTGCGTCGGTTTATAAAAACAAAGGTCATCCAGAGCATTATGGGAGCTCCTGCTGCACGTTTTGCTACCCTGTGACTCGGAGGTTTCCAAAGAGGCGTCTGTGCTTCGAGCTGTGGGACGAGGCCGGTGGCGGTTCACACAAGCATGTGGATCTCGTTGTACTCGTCTCGTCCGTCCTCGTCAAAGTTGGGAGAGTCCTCGTCGCAGTCCAGCTGTYGATCAACGGAACATCTTTGGTTATTTATTTTTAAACTTTAAACAGCTCTTGATTTAGCTTGCTGAGTTAATAAAGAGTGGCAGACTGAGCTAGCAAGACGTAAYCAAACATTAGCTTGTGTGCTAATTATCTGAATCTGTACCATAAATGTGCATCCAAAAGTTATCAATAAAAATGCCAAATTATTAGTTATTACAGGGTCTTAACCCACTAATGATGGGGAAAGCACTCCATTACGTAAWAAACAAGTGTTGTTATTGTTTATCTTGTTATATTAAATCCTACATTTCAAACTGGCAATTGAATTAAAATCTATATTTTTATCAAATTAAGTAAAAAAGGGGCCATTCGGAAGTCACCTGCGGGCTGTATGTGGCCCACGGTCCACCAGTTGAATAGCCCTGTTTTAACCTTTTATGTTGACCATCTCCGAGAACAAAGCTGTTGTTGTAGTTCAGAGATTCTTAACCTATGGGCCGCGGCCCA